CCTTGTCCATTTACAAAAAAATACTCCTATTTTGGGGATTTTAAAACTCTAATCCTATTTTTGCACAAATCCTATGTTTTACTCCTATTTTGGTAATTGCCCCTATAAACAATTAAACACGGCAATCAGATTTAGAGGCCGTTTGTTAAGGGACAGAGGGGTGGCTTTTTTTGGACAGATATCTCTTGAACTTTTATTACTACTATAGAGTATTTGTTATCTTTATCCTTCTAAACCTGTGGATTAGGGACGGGGCCAGACTTCACTGCAAGAGGGGCCGAAGTATGATACAAATATTAAAATGTAAAGGAAAACTTTGGAACTTTGGTCCCATAAACTTACTATGTGCTCTTTTTTAGTCCCGATACCCTCTTGCTCACAAATTTGGTCATGTAACGAATAATTTTTTGCAATTTAAGTAAACTTTTAGGAAAGGTCACTTTCCTACAGATAATTCACTTCAAATTATGCCGCAATGTGATTTTTTTGCCAAAAAATATACTTTCAGGTGAAAAATATAGGACTATAGTGGCAAATCTTTCAAATATAAAATTTTAAAATATAGAGACTTAAGGCTTGCCTTATTGCTTTCATAATTGGGGGGTGGGGGGCATGCCCTCCTTAACCGACAACATACCTCCGCCCCTGCGTATGGACAAATTCAGGGGAGGATCTATGTTAGGGCTATGGTGGGCTGAAGCCCAGGGCAAAGTAAAAAAAATTAATATTTTTAAGGTATTATTTTGATAAAATTCCATCCAGCCCACCCCAGATATTTCTATAGCCCAATCAAATTTTTCAGCCCAACCCATAAATCAAATTCTTATCATCTAAAAATCTAATCAAAATGTTATACACATCACTTCCAACTTAATAAATGGCACTTGGTATATAATATAACAACTTGATTAGCATGTTCACATCAACTTGTAAAGTGTTTGAGGATCTTCAAGAACATTAATTGCACAAAAGTGAGGTCTTGGGCAGAAGTTCGTAGTGTGTATAGACATTTTCCATGTTTTGAATTTGTGTTCAATTCACTTTTGATGCACAAAGTTATGGAAATAACGAATGTTCTCTCTCAAGGCCTTCAAAAAATCATTGGATATCTTGGTAGCCATGAGACATCTTTCTACTTCACAACTCATTCTTTAGGAATTGACCGGAAGTGGATGTGAAGGTTTTCTTGAAAAAGTAAATGAGTTTTGCTCAAAAAAAATAAATTCATGCACCGGACTTGAATTCTAATTTCTAAATATATGGTTGGTCGTTGCCAAAAATAAACTACAGTTGATCATCATTATCACTTTGACGATTTCAATAAGACTTTTTTATGGAGTTACAGACCCATTTAATGATCATCTTATTGTTTCTACTGCAACCGTAGAATATCATTTTCTGCCGTGAAACATCAAAAGACAACACTCTGCAACAAAATGGATGATTACTTTCTTACTCTCAGTATAAATGTAGACTCTATTGTTGACGAGTTTATATTAAAAAGAAATTACCCTCAAGATAGATGTAGACTCTATTGTTGACAAGTTTATATTTGAGTTTTTGCTTATTTTGAAAAAAATTCAATGTATTATCAATTAAGTTTTTCAGCCCACCCCAACGTGAAATCCTAGATCCGCCCCTGGACAAATTTGTTCGAGATAATGTTGGTAACAAACCTCTCAATCAATTTTTGTCTGTTTTGACCAATCTTAGCCAAACTACCAATTTAAGTGTTTGGTTACTGGCTGTTTAAAATAGCATTTACATCCCAAACAGTCAACTTTGAAAACGCTAATGTTTGTGACGTTTTAACTTTTTCCATTTAATTTCAAATTTCAAAGTCTAATCAAACCCCATGAATGCTTAGAGTATGCCCCCATATTTTAAAAGATGGGTATTTGGAAAATGACGTTTCATCAAAAACAAATAGCAGTTTGACCCCTTTTAGTCTTTTCAATAAATGAAAAGACTAAAATGTAAATAGATGTTCGGTCCTAGTGTTTTTGGACAGAATCACTGAAATGAAAACGCTGCAAACAGGAGAGTTGAGTTAGTGTTTTCAAAAATGGCGTTTCCCACTATTTTATGGTCAAACTGCTAAATTATCAAACATCTTCTAGCACCCGCCAACTTATTCCGTTAGTCAAATCCATTGACTAAATCTGCTATTGACAACCTGCTAATACAATCCGTTATCCGGTAACAGCTAAATGTCAAACACACCCATTCTTCTTGTTCACGTAAACTGTCTCTCGTCCCTATACTCTAGTTTGATGCTTCATAGTTTATACTACGTATTTCTTTACTTGAAAGTTAGATGTGTACTGCTTTTCATGGTTATTTTTTTGTTTAAAAATTGATTTATACTGAATGTTTACTAATTCAAAACATTATTACGTACTACGGTCTACGGAGTATATCATTAGTTACAAATTTGAAAAAGCTTGTCTTTCCTTAACTCGTTTTACTTATATCTATATCAATAAAATAAGCAATACTCGGTACAAAAAATACTTTAAAATGTGTTTTTTTTTTCGCCAAGCTTTAAAATGTGTTTTAATGTAATGCATTCTCCTCTCAAGACAAATATTTGAGATAAACACACGTTTAAAAATACTACGGAGTATAAGACGAAACTTGGCGTGTAAAAATTTGACATAGTTACACTAGAAATTATATTGATTTTATCAATGTCCTTTTATGTCAAACACTTTTTGACAAACCGCTAATACAATAGGCTGATCAAAACTGCCAATACTATCAGCTATCTTCTATGAGCCATCACAATCACCTATCGACTAACCGCTGTCAGTCAAATGCCAAACACCCCAATGTCAATAATTTTGATTGGGATAAAGTTGAACATGTAAGCTTTTTTTGGAGAGCAATAGTGGGGTCATCATACCAAGACACTTAGACACTTCTTCCTAGTCTAATGTTCTCACTTTCCTTTTTTAGATATGTCAACTAAAAGTTCTCATTCTATTTTAGAAAATGATTAATATTCTTAAATGATAATTAAATCACTAAATCATCAAATATTATAAACAGTACATTTATAACATCATAGCTATTTTTTATGACTTTGTTATATTATTTATTCATCAAAATTATTTCCCAAAATATACCCAAATAACCTTATTTAACTATTATCTAAATAGTCACGTAATATAACTTTGCCATGGGTACCTTTGACTCGGACATACCGACATAGATGGTTTCTTTTAGTGATTGAGAAATGTTTAAAATAAAAGCTATAGCTAGTTGGTAAAAGTCATTTGTTTGATTTAATCATCTTTGATATGATAACTCCTGTGAAGATTTAATCATAGACTTTCTTTAAGAAGCTGCTCGGTGTAACTTCTCAAGAGTGATTTATGCTTTTAAAAAACTCTCAAAACTATTATGACAAACATACAACTAAAAGGTTTAAGAGACTCTTTCAATATTACAAAAGCTAGAAGGGTGATACTTGTATCTTTCAAACATACACTTAAGAGATGTAATTTTTAATCACATAACTAATTGTTTATTCTTACTTTATTCATTAGATCACATCACAAAATTTCAAGCAAGCCATATGAAATCATAGAATCAGGCCCGCATGAACAAGATTTTGATTAGATGAGCAAAAGATCTAGAGCATATTATATAAAAAAGATTGAGACCACCTCAGACTAGAGAGATTCACATATGATCTGACAAGCTCATAAACATTAACATCAGATATAAATAGTTAAACATGATTTATTACTGTTATTGACTTATTGTTAATATTGCTATTATTGTTATTGTTGTTGTTATTGTTATTGTAGTAGTTGTTGTTGTTATTGTTATTATTAATTAAAGTCAAGAGTACGTAGATCGTAAAATTTGTGTGTTATTAGCTCGAATGATGTACAGGTTTATATACAATTCTCGGATCCTCTCTACGCTAAAGGAATTTACAAAAAAAAGAGTTCTAAGCCTATACGTAAGCTTATACAGCTGGTTACAACAGATAAGATAAATAATAAAACAAAACAATTATTTAACCAATTTAATATGCATGCGGTCGTCCAATAATATTAACACCCCCCCTCAAGATGGAGCATGGGGATCAAGAATGCCCATCTTGGCAAGAAGATGATGAAATTGAGGAGCTCCCAAAGCTTTAGTAAAGATATCCGCCAATTGCTCCGTTGTAGGCATGTAGGACGGACTGATGGCACCAGACTTCACGTGGTCACGAATAAAATGACAGTCGAGCTCGATGTGCTTAGTTCGCTCATGAAAAACAGGATTAGAGGCAATATGTAGAGCAGCCTTGTTATCACAAAAGATCTTGAGTGGTGGAAGTGTAATTAGTAAAGTGGAAAATAGGCTTCGCAACCACAAAAGTTCACAAGTAAGAGTGGACATGGAGCGATACTCGGCTTCAGCTGTAACACCGTCCCCAAGTATATTTACTTTTATGTAAATAATGTATTGAACCTTATCAAAGGATTAATGAATTTACGAAGTTGTAAATTTTTATTATTTCTTTCGCGCGAATAGTAAATTGCACGTGGGACCCACACCGGGAGCGGGGGCCGCCCGACACTCCCGAGACCACATGTTTTATTCATCTTGGTCAAGATAATATTTATATAGTGGTGGATATTTTATTTGGGTCATGGAAAGGCACAGAGTTGACCGATTGGGAAAAAGAGGCTCAATTACCGGTACTGACAATTTAACAGATAGCAGCCCGGAAATGAATTTCGGAGGCTTATAAATTAAAGTTGGGGAATGTATATTCATTATAAATGTCATAATGAGTAAGAGCACACAATATATTTTATTTGACCCGATAAAATAAAATATATTTAAAACAGTCCGAAAAATACAACTTTCGGGACCGAATGTACATTTCGGGACAAGTTGGGATGACCTCCCACATGAGTGGGGGCCACCCCACGTTTTTGTGTGCTCAACAAGACCCATGGGGGGGATGGAAGGACAAATGAGTATGTGGAGGAGGATTATTTGACATCTATAGTACCAAAGAGGACCCCCCACCTCTCTTAATTGTCTTTGAGACAAAGGTGAGTGCCCTCTCTCTCACCCCTATCTTTCAGCTCGTCCAACCCCATCAAGAAAGGAGAAGGAAGCTCTCAAACCATCCTCCATAGCCACCAAATTCGAGCTCAAGCATAAGTGCTCAAAGAAGAAAGATTAAAGAAGGAAAAAGGCTAGGAAAAGTGTGTAAATTAAGGTAATGACCTCATTATAACTTTTCCTTTATTTTTATCCTACCATATGAGATATGTATCATGTGAAGAACCCTTAAGAGGGTTCTACATGTTATAAGTATGGATTTATGGGTTATGAAGTGATTCTATGTCCAAGAACGGTCTTAGAAGCCAAAACGACCGGTTCACCGGAAAATAACCTTTTTGAGGTTATTTGTATTAATATGGGTTTTATGATTATAAAACCTTGTTAGGAACTTGTGAAAGGTATTTCAAGTGATTTCACAAGGTTGGGAAAGTCGCCGGAATTGTCGCCGGAGTTGACCAAAAGTCGCTGGAGTTTCACCGGAGTTCAACCAAGAAGGGTAGAACTTCATAACGCTAATTCAAGGTGAGTGGACGGCTTAATGTCTTATAACTCTTGGGTTAAGTATGAGATTACCTAAATAAATGTTATAAGTATTCATAATGATGTTTAAAAGAGTTTAAGCATGTGATTAGCCAAGGTGATTAGGCTTATGTGAATGAAACTACATGATTATGCATGTGGGAAGTAGAAAATATATATAAAACATATGTGATGTTTTGGAAGGCCAAAATAACATTTATTGATTGTTTTAGACATGATATAGGTTGTATAAAAATTTCGGATCAAATGGATCACGGTTCGGGGGTCAACTCGGGGGTCAACGGGCCGTTGACCCAAAACTCCGAACATACCCGGCGCCGGGTATAGGGCATACCCGGGGCCGGGTAAGCTACTGCCTCCACACTTAAATTTCACTAAAAACGCGAACCGAAGTCCGGTTCGAAGGAGGGGCTGACCCCGTACAACCTATGTGTGTATATTGTGCATGGAATTGCATGGAATATGATGATTTAATGTCAAGATTGACATTCATTGATTTAATTCTAAGACTCGGTTAGTCTTTAGTAATAATATGATATAGACCCTATCTAGTGTGATATGTGGTAAGTCATAGGTCGGGTGGAGTACCCAGGGATCGGGCGTGTATCCTCAAAACTCGGTTATATAGGGTGGAGTACCCAAGGATCGGGCGGTTATCCTCAAAACTCGGTATATATGTATATATATAGGGTGGAGTACCCAAGGATCGGGCGGTTATCCTCAAAACTCGGTTATATAGGGTGGAGTACCCAAGGATCGGGCGGTTATCCTCAAAACTCGGTATATATGTATATATATAGGGTGGAGTACCCAAGGATCGGGCGGTTATCCTCAAAACTCGGTATATATGTATATATATAGGGTGGAGTACCCAAGGATCGGGCGGTTATCCTCAAAACTCGGTTATAGGGTGGAGTACCCAAGGATCGGGCGTGTATCCTCAAAACTCATAGATTACATTTAATGATCTAGGACCGGGCGGTGTCCTTATGATAATTTACTTGAACAAGGAGGAGTTCTATACACTCATAGGTATATGGGTGGGTTGGGATTTAAGTCAAGGACATTGGCTTCTATTATTTTTCCCAAATAAACAATGACCTACGGGTCGGGTATTTCCAAGTGTATATATACCAATATGTATTTCAAATCTTGGGGAAAGGACTATACGTATATGTATCACCCTATGTTTGGGTCTTATACTTGAAACGTTAGTTATTCTACATTTAGCCTGCTACTCGCTCGGTACTTGTACTGACCCCTTCGGGGGGGCCCCACCATTTCAGGTTGAAGCTCAAGTTGCTATTCTCACCTTGCTCGGTGAAGTGATCCAAAGGGAGACGTGGTTCGTGCTTCCTTTAATGTTTTAAACTACAAACTTGCTCATGGATATTTTTGTAATAAATACATTTGTTTTGGGCCTGCGTGCCTACGTTTTGGCCATGTGTGGCCCACGATTGAATATTGAATATTTCCGCTATTCGTTCAATCCTATTGCGTGATGTTGTTATGTATGTTTACTTACTGAGTATGGTATGGACTATGTTCATGGACGCCTTGTTTGACTAAGTCACGTTGACTCGCGGGTGACGTCATTTAGTCATACGGCGGTTGTACACGCGCTCAGATGCGGTCTGGGGCGTGACAATTAAGTGGTATCAGAGTCATCTCAGTTCTAAACTATATAATCAACCTCTCACAAAAGATTTTACAGAAGAGTTTTTACTGAAAACCATGAGCATTGTATTTTGACGTTTATGGGACTATTGGTGCTTAAGTTGCAGGGCCTCTAATTGTTAAGACGGTACCCTTAACAATTGGTATGGTGGTGACTTGGGTCAATACGTGTCTATAACGTTTTTCCGTCAATTGACATTCATAGGAGTCTAAAGACTCGTCCAAATTCCGTTTCAGAAATGGAGGGTAAGCGAATGGCAACAAGGAATGACCCTAAGGGAGAAGCGTCGGTAGCTTACCTTGAGGCTAGCCGGGCTGTGTCACGAGCCTTTACGGGGAGAGGAATAGGCCATGGGGGCCGTGAGGGCCGCCAAGCGGCAAGCGCTAATCAAGTGGGCTCGATGTGTAACATGAACACCAGGAGGAAAGAACGTAGGCGTCAGGCGAGGCGAGATCGGGCCACCTCCCAACGTGATATGACTGTCAGCCAAACCCATCCTTGGGCAAACGACCAAGGAGGAGAAAGCACTCTTACGGCACCGGCATCACCGGTGAAAAAGAAAAGGACCTCAAGGTGGCATACGTCCTTTCCTTACTCTTTCAGACCATCCAAATGTTCGAATTGCTTTAAGAAACATTTCGAAAAGTGCAACGAGCCCCCGATGTGCTACGAATGTGGGAGCACAACCCACATGAAATTAAGTTGCCCATGGAGGAGGCAACGAGAGACATCACAAGCCAAGGAAGGGCTCACCGTGGAAGGAAACCATACGGAACCAACGGCGAGCAACGCTACGTCCGTCAATCAAGGCAGGGCCCAAGCACGAGACTACGCGATGACCGAGGCGGATGCGCGGGCAAACCCGGACTCCGTCGCAGGTAATACACTTAATTCCATGTATTTCTAGGCTTATCTTGATCATATACACCGTTGGGGGTTGAGTTCGGGCCACCCCGGGATCAAACGGAGCGAAATTGGGCGAAATTGGGCGAAATCAGGTTGATTTCTGCCAACGCACTACAGGCTGGGCTGCACGCACAGCCGTGCGTTGCCCGTGCGTACCTCCGTGCGTTGGTGGCAGTAGCACCCCGGAGGAAATCGCTGCACGCCCGGCCGTGCGTTGCCCGTGCGTACCTCCGTGCGTTGGTGGCAGTAGCACCCCGGAGGAAATCGCTGCACGCCCGGCCGTGCGTTGCCCGTGCGTCCCTCCGTGCGTTGGGGGCAGTAGCCTCCATTGGGAAGGCAAGGTATGCACGACCGTGCGTACCCCCTACGCACGCCGTGCGTGGACCCCTGGCACCCGAAACTTGATTTTTTCGTCCCGTTCTTCTACGTTTGGACCCCCGTTTGATTCCAAACATTAGTATGAACCTAATAACCTCCTAAAGATGTGTAAAAACATTATAAAAGGTATCTTACATGGTGTATAAATGTAGGAACATTAAAGATCAATGGTAGGTGTGCGAGGATCCTCATCGATACCGGGGCACAACGCTCATTTGTGAGTGAGGCGTTCGCCGAGGGCCTTGACGTGCCATTGACACCTATGACACAAACGTTGCTAGTCTCCACACCGTTAGGAGACGACGTTGATCGGTGTATTTTTTAGTGAGTAAAACGTAGTTGGCTAATTCGAAGAATAACCAGACCACGAGTATCGTCTCTCAAGGAGTGGCAAAAAGGAAGTTTTAAATACGATCCGTGATCACAGGCTAGCACAAGTCATGGTAATCTTTCCAAATAAATTCTTTTTGGGTGGTTTAAAAAAAAAAAAAGACTAACTAACAGCGAGTGCAGAAATAAATAGAGAAAGAAAATTAAGGAAATTGATTCTAGATTTTAAAATAGGGTTCAAATTGGATGGTTCGGGTTCTGGGTGTTCTTTCAGGATTAGAATTAAGTAAATTAATTTTCAATTATTCCTGGACAGAAAATGAAATCAATTCTCATAGACAAGAATTAAATCAAATTATCACAATCCTAACTTATTTCTAAGATCAGATTGCTTGTATAAGACCCGAGCTAATTTAACTCAATTTCTCATAGACAAGAATTGAATTAAATCCAGACATTCATATATGAGGTGATCAAATTCATATAGACAGTTAAGAGTAATCTTATACAATTTACCAGAAAATTAATTGAATTTAAAAAAACTAAATTCACACCCTTAGGAACCCATGAACCCTAGCCCCAATTCAAACCCTATGTGGAATTAGCTACTCATAATTAAAACTAACATCACAATAATATTGATAAACATGATAAGCAGCTAGATATAGAAACTGAACTATGAGTATTAAATTGGAAGAAAACTGAAATTACTAATTGGAGATAAGGAAATTCGAAATCAATCCAAATTCAAGAATTGGTAATGTATAATATGCTGAAACTTACAATCTATCACTTGGAAATCTAAATTGAATTGAAAGAAATTGAAGAAAAGTGAAGTTGAGGAACCTCCTTGTTCTTTCTTGCTGCTACGGCTAATTCCAAAAGAAGAAAAGAAATACTTGTTGTGGCTAAGTGACAAGGAACAGAAAGGATTCCTCCCCGGCGGCTGCTTGTAACTAATTCGAACAGATTAGAAAACCTGGTGCGGCTGCCTTTCTACGAACAGAGAAAAAAATATGAGCTCCTACTGGCTACGGCTGCTTGTGTTCTGCGGCTAAGTGAACTGGGGAAAAAAAACGAACTCGTGCGGCTGGGGTTCTTCAGAAAAATGAAAAGAAAGAATGGGTGATCTTGTCCTGGGCTACTGCTACCCCCAAAATAAAACTCAGCCCTTGGTGTTCTTTTTTTTCCTATCATTTTTGGGCTGCAACCGAGCTGCTGCTAATTTTTTTCGGTGGACTGCGCTTCACTTTTCTTTGCTTCGGGCTGCACCAAATTGTTCTTGAAAGAACTCTCAAAAATTCCGGTCCAAACATAAATGTGTTATTCACCGCAAAATTCAGCCTGTAAAAGCACAACTCGCCACACCGCTAATAACATGTAATTTTACAATCAAATTACTCCAAAATATGTCAAATTGTGTAGAAAAATACTACACTGAATACGAATGCCACCGAGACCGAAAAATAACAAATTTTCATTCAAAACCCCCAATAGTCACCCGATTAATTATAAAAATTAGACAATCAACACCCACAATATGGGTGAAAGATAGGAACGGAACGAGCCTATCAAATCTCCCCACACTTGAGCGTTGCTTGCCCCCAAGCAACAATGCATTAAACTCACGGAAAAACAAAGTAATCGCATGTAACACTTGATTCAAAAATCATTCACACCCAAAACAAATGACTGCACAAGATCTTTTCTTTCTTAACAACGAAACCAAGATTCACATGCTAAACAATATTTTCAAAAGTAAAGTCCCTCTCCAACCAACTAAAATGTAAAGAAAAGCATGAGGGTCCCAACGGTGTAGGTGTGTGAAATTCAAACCACCAATCATTCCAAAAACCCAAGAGTTGTGTGATGAAAACCGGTATACTCGTGATTCTTTTTTTTTTTGAATATGAAAAGTTGACCAGGTTCTGGATTGCAGGACTGATTCAAGCTCTAGGGCCTGGGAGTTTATCTCATTACTGTGTACTCAACTCTCACACGGGGTGATTCGCGAGATGAGCAGAGCCCCATTTCGGGGATGAAATTCTCGACACACGAAGTGTAACCCCATTACAAGAATCAGTTACCTGCTTAGCATGAAGTTATCCCGATATGCTTAGAAAGCAGAGCTCCTTACGGAGTAAGGATTTTCAACACCTGGCCAGTCAAGGAATTATTAATGCGAACTAGTGAATCACGAGTAAGACCGAATTTAATCAACACAAATCAAACCATCCAACATGCCAACATTTCCATGAATATACACACCACCCCGATGATTACACCATTACTAATTCTTTCCAAGAAAGAGGGAGGAGATGGAAGTTTACAAAAGAAAATAAAGATTAACAAGTTACCTCTGTTGCGTTGCTAAACTAGAAAAAGTCTTGTGCACCTCAAAATGTTGTTGAGCAGAATAATTTCATCACCAAATGCCATGTCCAACCTAAAACCAAACCTCCCCACACTTAGGGGTGACATCGCCCTCGAGGTCAAAGAAAAGATTAAAACAAAAATAATAGGGGCAAGTTAAATATAAAATGATTTTCAGCCCGGCAACATATCATAATCAGAATAATAATCAACACAAATCAACAAGAGGAGTAATATGACAGTAAGCACACATTATTAGCAGCGTAGTAAGAGTTGGCAGAATACCGTACAAGCCAAACGGCGGTGAATAACTTCTAGAATAACTTTAACTCTCTGCATCCACTATCTCCTCGGTCTCTTGTGCTGAGATGTACGGACATTGCGCCTAGAACCATGATCTTAAGAATGAATTGCTCTCCTGGATGCATAAATTCTGCACACATCTTCCTGGTAATGCAAATGAAAGTCCCTCTACTCTTAAATATGTGTGGTAAGAGCTGCCATAATTCGGGCTGCATGTACTGAGCTTCTGGTGGCAGAACGCAGTACTGGTATTGGCATCATCTGTCACTAAAATGCTGAAATCTCAGCCCATCAAACTGAAACCGATGAGAGTGTTGGACATTTACTTGCTTCTTCCCTCCTGTAGTAGGATGATTACCCAGAATCTGTCTGAATCTGCATAAAATCTTCCTTTGCTGCTACCACGTTTCTGTCCCGAGAGACCCTAACTCCTTGAGCATGTGTAGGTCACTAATCATTAACCCTGCAAGTGTTTAAAGTTGAATCCAACTCTCATATCGCTCCCAGGCTTGCTGTGAAGTAAACTACAGTGTGTAGCCCTGACTAACCCCATCTACATAGGGCGTTTCTTCATCTAGACCAGTCTATGATCACCATGCAGCACCTGCAATTCAGAGCAACAAAGAAATCCAAACGCACAACCACAAGATGAAAAGAAAAAAACAATGGGAAAAAAGTGCATAAATAAATAAAAAACTCCTAATTCTACTTTTTTGATGTTTTGTTTAAGGTGGGTTGCCTCCCAGAAGCGCTTCTTTAACGTCACTAGCTTGACAATAATATTTCATTCCTAATCTGGCTCAAATGGCCAAGTAAAAGTGGTATTTTCCTGATCAACGGGATGAACGTGTATTTGAAAGTACCCGCTCATCCCGTCAAGAAAACAATAATAAGCATGCCCTGCCAAACTCTCAATCAACTTATCAATAAAAGGTAAGGGAAAGTGATCCTTCCGTGTGACCTCATTCAGTTTACGAGCAATGACTTGCTCGTGGCGCCTACGGACATCCATCATTTTTTCCTTCTGTCCCGACTCTAACTGGGTTGAAATTATGACAGGGCGTTGGCCCTCTGTATCCAAAAATGCATACTCCAGGTGACTAGGGAGTGGTTCGAGTTCAGGGGTAAACTTATCAGGGGGCTGCTCCTCAAACTCAGTAAGCAACTCAGGGAAAACATCATCCCTAATCACCTGCTCGCAATCAACAGTCATTTCTTCTTCATTTTCAGCCACTATATCCCCCACATAATGAATGTCACTATCTGGTGGGGTAATATCACTATCGCCTCCAAACAAATAACCCTCCACTGACTCAAACATATCAAGATAATTGCATGATTCAGTGGGGTCTGAGGCCTTACTCATCACATCTGAGAGTTTAAAGGTGCACACATCGTCCCCAACTCTCAGAGAAAGTGAACCATCAGCAACATCAACAAGGGCCCTAGCAGTAGCCAGAAAGGGCCTCCCTAAAATAAGTGGAGTCTCACGATCTTCCTCCATGTCCATGACCACAAAATCGACAGGGAATATGAACTTGTCCACTCGTACTAATACATCCTCTAGAATTCCTTTCGGGTATTTCAC